TTTCTGGTGACTGAGGCAGGGGGATTGCTTCAAGTTCCAGGCCAGTCTGAACTATATAGTGAAACCCTGTCCCCCCAACCCCCCCCCCAAAAAAATCAAAAAATTGATCCTGCTGCGAATCTTGGATGTCCTGCTCAATTCTTTAAAGACATCAAGATCTGAACAAGACCCCTAACCCAGTAACAGAATGACTTGTACACTGAAAACTATAAAAACACTGGTAAAGAAATCAAAAGTGACACAAATAAATGGAATGAGATCCCGTGTTCATCGACTGAAGAATGTCATTAAAATGTAGTACCCCAAATAACCTGCAGATTGAGGAAACCCTATAAAAATTCCAATACGGCCAGCTGTGGTAGTGCACACCTGTAATTCCAGCCCTTTGCAAGGCAAGAGGATTACAGATTTGAGTCCCACCCGTGCAAATTAGCAAGATCCTGTCTCAAAATTAAAAAATAAAAATAAAAAGGGCTGGGCTGGAGATTTAGCTCAGTGGTGCCAACACCTACCTTGCAAGCACAAGGTCCTGAGTTTGATCCCCGGTACGAAAATAAAAAATAAAAAATAAAAAGGGCAGAGGTGTGGCTCAGTGAGAGGGCTTGGTTTCAATGCCCAGTATCTCCAAAAATTAACAAACAAAAAACATAAACTCAATGGCATTTTTCAAAGAAACAGAAAAATAATCCTAAAATTCATTTGGAACCATAAAAGATCTCAAAACACCACAGCACTGAGCCAAAGTAACAAAGCTATAAGCACCACACTACCTGATTTAAAAATCTACTATGAAGCAATAACAAAACAGCGTGGTACTGGCCTAAAAATAAACATACTATGGAGAAAGGATAATCTCTTTAATAAATGACATTGGGGAAACATCCATGTGTTAGTCAGCTTTCTTTTACTGTAATGAACACCTTAATCAACTTAACAAGAGAAAGCTTTTATTCTGACCCATGTTTTGATAGGTTTCAGCCCAGAGTTGATATGTTCCATTGTTCGAGGCTGTGGTGGGGCACAAACGGGAGTAAAACCGCTTACCTCATGATTGGGAGCTAAAATGAGAAGAGGAAAGAGCCGGGCTGGGCGAGGTGATACATGCTGACAATCCCAGCACTCAGGAGGCTGAGGCAGGAGGATGGCCGCGTCTGAGGGCAGCCTGGGTTACACGGTGAGACCCTGTCTCCAAAAAACAAAACAAAACGAACAAAAATGAGAGGGAGAGGCACCAAGGTGCTTTTATTCCCTTCAGGGACACACACACCTTCTGCTAGGCCCACCTTAGTTTCCACCCCTCCCAAGAACACTAACTGGGGACCACGCCTTTAACACACGGGGGTGGGGGTGGGGGCGCTTTCCAGATCCAAACTACAGCAATAGCTACACGCAAAGAATGAAACTAAACCCTCACCTTCTACTGTACACAAAAATCAACTCAAAATGGATCACAAACCTAAATGTAAGAATTGAAACTAAAGCTCCTCGCTAGCAGTCTTGGCAATATTTTGGCTAGGACACCAAAGCACAACAAAAGCAAAAATAAGCAAGTCGGACTACATCCAACTAAAAAGCTCCTGCCTAGCAAAGGAAACAACAGAACAAAACGGCAGCCTATGTATTGAAAGATAGTATTTGGAAACTATATCTGATAAGGGGTTAATATCTAAATGTATAAGGAATTAAACTACAAAAAGAAAAAAGTGCAAAGGACTTGAACAGACATTTCTCCAAAAACAAAATGGCCCAACAATATATGAAAAAGTGTCGAACATCACTAATCAGGGAAAGGCAAGTCAAATAATAAGGTCTCATCTCACACCTGTTAGAATGACTATTACCAAAAAGACAAGAAATGACAAATGCTGGCGAAGGTGTGGGGAAAGAAGACCCTTGCAGTGTTGGTGGAAATGTAGATCAGTGCTGCCATTGTGGAAAACAGGATGGAGTTTTTCTAAAAAAACAAAAAAGAACTAACAAACTACCATAGGACCCAGCAATCCCTCTTCTAGGTATATACCCAAAGGAAATAAGATCTTTCTGATCTTGTAAAAATACCAGTACTCCTATGTTCACTGCAGTATTATTCACAGTAACCAAGATATGGAAATAACCAGTGTCTGTGGACAGACAGAAACAAACTGTGGCATATACACATGTACAAATTATGATTCAGCATGAGAAGACCATTTGTGATAGAGAACACCATGCTAAGAGAAACAACGCAGATATAGAACAATACTATATAATCTCACGAGTGGAATAAAGAAAAAACTGGAATACACAGAAACAGTACAACAATGGCTACTAATGGTGAGGGGAAAGGGGAAGCTGTGGGTCAAAGAGTACAAAGTTGTAGTTATGTAGGATGAATAAATCTAAGAAAGCTACTGTACCTGAGAACTATAGTTAAACAATTAAGTATACACTGGTACTGCCGAGAGAGATTTTAGGTTCTTTGACCATGCACACACACACACGACTATATGATGTGCATGCTAGTTTGCTTGACTGTGGTCACTTCCCTATTCATATCAAGGGATCAAAGTTTTATGTTGTATTAAAGATACATAAAAAAGAACATCAGGGGATATGGGCTAGGGGTGTAGCTCAGTGTTAGAGCACATGCTTAGCATGTGTGAGGCTCTGAGTTCTACCTACAGCACACAAAAAAAGGAAAAAAGCAAACGAGGGTATCTGCATAAACAAAAGGGAAAAGTAAAAATAATCATTTGATGATGCAAAATTCATCATTGATGTTAAATTCTTAAAACAGGGTTAGATTTCTGATTTTTTAAAAAAACCCCAACATACAATAAATCAAACACCAGACATATCCCTCAGGGACTGACAAGCATGTTTACTTGTAATGATTTAATAGTCCAGATGTACCAGCTAAAAGTTACAAGAGTTAGAAAAGGGTACAAAAATTCAAAATTAGTATTTTCAGATATATCAGGAGAATCAAGTAAAAGCTACTCTTGATGAGAATTCAACAAGATTGCTGGAATCAGTAACTTTCCTATAGGCGATGCATTAGAAGGAAAATGCTACTTCAATTATAACAAGACAAACCTTAAAAATGTGCAGAACCTAAGCAATAAAAATTTGAATGCTTACCTGAGATCTTCATTTGAACAAATGGAAAGACGTAAGCCTATGCTTTTGGAAAGAAGTCTCTGTATTATTAAGTTTGTTCTCCTTTGTCTTATTTAATTTTTTTTTTTTTGTTACTGGGGATTGAACTCCAGTCCTTGTGCTTGCGCAGCAGGTGGCGAAACCACTGAGCTACATCCTTGGCCCCTTATTTCTTTAATTTGATCTCAATAAATGTGGGGCCGGGGATGTAGCTCAGTGGTGCCACCGCCTGCCTTGTAAGCCCAAGGTCCCAAGTTTGATCCCCGGTACCAAAAAAAAAAAAAAAGTACCAGCTTCTGCCTAAGAACAAACTAATTTTAAGGTTTAGATTGGAAAAATATATCCAAAAAAAATCTAAGAAAGTTGTGAATGTAATGACAGACATTTCACTTCTACTTTGCAGTTATGAAAATATAAATGTCCAGGTACAGCAATTAAAATCTGCAGTAGGCACATGAAAATTAAATCCTAGAACACAAAGAGAGGTCAAAAGTCATTACTGATCTGGGTGGCATTTCAAGTGATGGGAATAAACTAAACTGATATTCAAGCACAAAAAAGACCAAAGTGTTTTAACAAGGTAAAAAGTAATATAGTCTGGGGGAAAAATTTACAATATCCAGTTGCAAAAGTGTATTTCCTAAGTACTAGCACTCTTAAAAGATAAGCACAGAATACAAATGGTTAACATTAAAAATATTCAAACTTACTGATAAAAGCAGTGCAAATAAAAACTTCATGGAAAACACTTTTCTCATTACTTTAGCAAGGGGGCAGGCTGAGGCAGGATTGCTTGAGCCCAGGAGTTTGAGGCCAGCATATGAGACACACTGTGGTCAAAATTTTCTTACTAGTACAGGTGTGAGAAAACTGGCATCCTTAACATGGTGACAGTGGAAGTGTGTGTCAGTAAACTGGAAGATGGTAATAGCAAAATGCTCCTGTCTTATCTTCACGTCTAACAATTTATTTCTAGACTCAAATCCCCAAAGATACATACATTCATTACAAATTGCATTATTATTATTGGTAGTAGCAGAAGACTAGAAACAATTTATTACTCGCTGGGGACTGCTTCAGTGAAATACAGCTATAGAGTGGAATACTCTATCATATAGTATATACGTCATCAGATAAAGACATAGTTCAATAAAAACATAAGATTCAGATGACTTTACAATACACTGTTTAGAAATGGGGGGTGATATAAACATTCATGTGGCAGTGTACACACGGAATATTTTGGATAAGTATACTGGAAAAGTTGATTCTAGGGAAAGAGGTAGAATGGAAGTCAGGGAAGACAGGGAGGCTTTACAAATTGAAATCTTTTAAATTAAAAAAATAGAAATTCAAAGTGTTGTTTTAAAAAACAATCCAAAAGAGGGTTGGGGATTTAGCCCAGTGGCGCCTGCCTGTCTGCCTTGAAAGCACAAGGTCCTGTGTTTGATTCCCCCCCGGGGGCGGATGGGACGGACACAATCCAAAAGAAAATATAACTGGAGTTCATGCTACTTTTAGTATTTATATATTGTGAACCTTTCCCCCGAGTAAATGATCAAACACTTTGAGAAAAACTAACCAATGCCATGAATTCAGAATCAAGTCAGACATTTGTGAAATAGTGAAAATTAAGAGTATATGAACTTAAAAAAAAAAAGAGTATATGAACTTGAAAATATTTTTCAATCCTATAGTGGTTTTAATGAACATTGAGTAATATGTGCACAATTGGTGCAATTAACCTTCACAATCCCCAGCTTTCTGTCTAAAAGAAAATGGGGGGAAATCACTATCAACTCTTTCTAGAGATATGCTGGAAGGAAAAATTCATTTGACTATAAAAATGAAATGGCATAAGCTTAAAAAAAGCAGTAAGTCCATTTATTTTCACAAGTAGCTTTATTTAGCTTTTAGAAAAATATATACAATAATCAGAACTTCAGTTCTTTTAAATAGTTTTAAATTAAAAGTAGGCAAATGGGAGGACAAGTGTATTTCCACAGTCAGGACATCAATACTGCTTAATAAAGTAGTAAATAGGAATTTCTGCAGCAAGTCAGAATCATTTACAGGAATGACGAAAACTGAACAGGGAGCAGCTTCTGGCCGGCAGGTCTGCCAGCTCATGACACGAGGAGAGCCAGGGGTTTGATCTTTGTCTTTCAGCTTGAACTTGAGAGGAAATTCAAGGTTTACCTCGTCTACCCTAAGGTATGTTGCTCTGAGGAAAGCGCTTAAAGGTGGCTGGTGTCGGTCCTTGAGGGCACCATACAAGCCCAAGTCGCCACTTCAATCTGGTCTTCAGTCAGACCAGGACACATCAGCGTTACCTGTCAGTCACGGTTCAACCGGTAGCACATGTAACAAAACTTGTCTGCAGAGTAGTTCATGTCATTTACTTTGGATTAGACTCCCGCTTTCTCTTGAACATTCTTCCAAACGAATTCAGTTAGCAGCAACATGGTGAAAGATCTTGGCATAGCAGCCCTCTAACTTCCATAGTTTTGAGAAGCTGAGCAAGGAGGCAATGGGAATTGCTTTAGCTCTGTCCTAACAATGCCCTTTCCCCTCATGTCTTGGGTCATGGATCTCCTTCCACTGGTTCTGGGGCTTTTCCAACAACTGCAGTCTCATCCGCGCAGCCGGAGGCCAGTCTGTCATGGCATTTCCTAGGGAGTTTTGAAGGAACTGTAGAATTGGTACCAGCAGCCCCCTGCTTTCCTTGCTGTCTGAATTTGCTAAATAAGCAAAGTGGTGAGGCAAATGCCACAAGCAACAGTGGGCTTTGGAGTCTATAAGCAGTTGTTGGAGTGAGAGAGAGATGGTGGGAAACAGGCAAATTAGTAGGAGAGCTGGAAGTTCAATTAAGAATGAGAGGAGAGAGAACGGTATTTTGCTCTCTGTTCGCTTATTTCCTGCTTAGTTTTATTGATGCAGCTAAAGATCTCCTTAAACAATGCCTTGTACTCTGGAGGTGGTGTCTCAGAAGGAGAGCCGATGTGCTCTGGAGTGACAGAGCAAGGTTCCCAGCCATTGGCACCAGGCTCAGGCTGGGCATCAGCCCCGATCAGGTCTCTAGCGGAAGCCCTGGTGGTCTGCACAGCCTTGTGTGACAGGGAGTCCTGCTCCTGCTGGCACTTCTTCAGCAGCTCTTCGTACTTCACCTTCAGAGCACTATACTGAGTGTCCACTTCGTGCAGCAGGGAGACGCCCCTCTGCTTCACAGCCTTGGCCCTCCTGATGCAGGTCTCCTCATGGCCCTTCACGATGTCACCCCCCGCCAGGCTGCTGAGGACCGTGTCACTGCTGCTGCGCTTGAGAGGCTTTCTGTATGCTTCCGAAACAGTCAGGAACATCTCCTCCAGCAGGCTCTGGCTGGGCTCTTTGAAAGGAACCAACAGAGAGTCCGGCACCAGCTTCTCCACTCCATTCATAAAAGGATGCTCTGCCTGCAGCACACGCCGCATCTCTGCCACCTCGGCCTCCAGCTCCAGCGCCCGTGCCTGGTAGGCATCGACGGCTCTCAGCTGCTGCTCCAGCTCGCCGTTCTCCTTCAGCATGAGCCCGTACTCCTCCTCCATGGTCAGGCGCTTCTGGCGCTCCAGGCTCAGCTGGGCCTGCAGCATTGTCACTGTCTTCTTCAGGTGCTCGTTCTCTTCTTCCTCTGGGCTTTGCTGACTGTGCAAGGAAGCGATCTTCTCGGCAAACACATGGTCATAAATGAAATGTCTGGGGAAAACATTGGAAAAAATGCACAGGTCAACTGAGAAGGCAAAGAAGGAAGTGTGTGTGTGCATGTGTGTAACTCAATCTTTCAAAGGAGCTGTGACAATGACTACAATTTTTAGCCTATTCCACACCAGTACTAGAGACCAGTGGCTAAAATGGAATTGTGTAAGACTGGTAAATAAAAACATGAAACCAAACAACTTTCGTGACAGGTTCTTTTTTTAAACATCAGAAGTATTATAGAATATGTATTCCCAAAGACCAGCAGCGTGACATTTGCCTTACTGGGAAATACAATAGCCCAGGGTTCTCAGACTTGGCTGCAGATCAGAATCACCCAGGTGAAACCTATCTGACTGGGCTGGGGATGTAGCTCAGCGGCACAGCGAATGCCTGACAAGCGTAAGGTCCTGAGTTTGCCGGTACCAAAAACCAAAACCAAACCCCATCTGACTGCTACTCCACTGATTCTGACCTCCTGGTCTCCTGGTTGGACCTTGGGGTTTAGAAGCGCCCCAAGCAATCCGTAATACGGACCCAAGGTTAAGAATCATTGCTCTTTATGGTTTTAACCAGAATGCACATCAGAATCGCCTGTGCAGCTCTGCACCCACACCTGGAATCTTGACTTAGGACTGAGGGAATATTGTGCACTCAGAAAAACTCCACAGGGGATCTGTGTACAGCCAAGGGGGAAGAGCAGCAAAGGAGCCAGCTGGCCTCCCTGTTCAGTCCCTAGGCACCTTATAACTGGACTTATGTGCACGCTTACTGGATATCTGCCTCGCCGTTAGATGAAAACTCACGAGGGTAGGAACTGCGCCTATTCTGGTCACCTTTCCGGGTAACACAGCATCTGCTGTACAACAGGTGTTCAATACATCTTCAGAATTCAAACTCATAACTCTTAAGGAATTTCTTTAGGTCAAAACAAAACAAAACAAAACAAAACAAAAAAAAGCACCAAAAACTGCCTGAATTTTTTAAACAAATTTTCTATTTTTCCTTCACTCAAAAATCTATACACTGTGGCCGGGGATTTAGCTCAGTGGTTCCACCACCTGCCTCACAAGCGCAAGGTCCCAAGTTCCATCCCTGGTACCAACAAACAACCAAAAACCTATACTCTGATTGGGGTATGGCATTACACACCTATATTCCTAGCACTTGGGAGGCTGAGGCAAGGGGATCACTGAAAGTTTGAGGCCAGCCTTGGTTACATAGTGAGCTCAAGGCCAGCCTGAACTACACAGTAAGACCCTGTCTCAAAAAAACCCCAAAACCAAAAACAAAACCAAAAAACCACTTGCTAGAAGTATTTTTAATTTTAAACTAAGATTTAACATGTTTAAGATAATGAAATAAATGCTCTTGAGCCTTTCCAAAATGAGTTTATACAGAATTACTAACACCCAAGAATTTTAATTTGTATAAGTGGTTTTGTTCAAACTACTGGTGATTTAATAGCCAAGTGGCATTTCTTAAAGTAACACTTATAATGTATTGGAATCTAGAATCTGTCGATGACAGGGCGTATTCCTAGCTTGTAAATCAATTGAAAGTGGGCTCTTACTGGCGGAGGTCATACAGCTCTTTCAGACAGGAGAAGCTAGGTGCTGGTTTCTCCTGCTCACATTTCCTCGGTTTTTTCCCTGAGCCAGATGACTTCAGTTCCTCCACTTGGCTTTGGAGGTGGTCAATGTTGACTTGCAGGCATTCAATTGTTTCCGTCAGGCTGTGAGGAACAGAGAGAAACCAATTGCTGCTTGTCATATTAAATTAAGGGCAAAGATAGTGAGGAAAGATAAGTCTCAAGCCACTCAAACTGGGCTTTCTTCATTGGAAAAGACATATTTAATCTCCAGTCTCCAAGAAGAATTAAATTAAACCTTATTCCACAGTAACTCAAACTTTCTACAGCTATGTTCTATTCCAAATTATACTAAGTAACTCCCTCTCCTAGGGTTTCAATAGATATTAGATCTTTTACCTCAGAATTTTTTGCTGTGAGGCCTTGCTGTCAGCAACTAGCTTTTGATTTGTTTCTTCCAGTTCTCTTGCTGTGACATCTAATTGCTCATAAACTTTTGCATGCTGCTCATTCATTTGCCGTAGAAGCTCCACCTGTTTGGTCAGATACTGTAAGAAAAGACAGTTGTGACCAGGTGACAAAACCGGACAAGATACATTATTTCAACACCAATTCCCTGGTTTCCCAATGTCTTAGTTACTTTTCTCATTGTTGAGACAAAATACCAATGGCCAAAGTTAAGGAGGAAAGGTTTATTTGGCTCAGTCTGTAGAGATTTCAGTCCAGGGCTGGCTGGCTCCAAGGCAGAGGGGCATCGCAGAGGAGAAACAGTTTATGGCAGGCAGAAGGGAGCAAAGGAAGTGACTAGGGGGTCTTAGCAGCTTTTTTCTGCCCCTTTTATAGTCTATCTGGGCTCCTGGGATTACAGTGGTGCCAAACTAATCAGTGGACTGACTTAGGAATCACCTACCTCAATCCTAGCACTGCACCATGAATCAGCCACACACTCTAGATTCACCCACCTAGGACGGCATGAGGCTTTGAGGAGACATCCAGACACAGCCTTAACACCTCAAATCAACTAGTATGGGGATGAGGGTTGGCACAGAGCTTCCAGTGCAGAGCCTGACACCCCCCCAGCACGTTAACGTGTTCACCCACAAGTCGGTAGTCTTGCTCTGGAGTTTTACCAAGAAACTTTATTGCATGAGTATGATCAGTTCAATCACTGCCCACTGGTGACTGAACTCAACCTCAGCCCCTGCCTCCCTCCTCAGTCCCACTCTATCACTCAGGAAACTCCAAAGGTTTTAGAAGCTCTATGCCGGGAACCAGGGACAGGGACCAAATGTGTAATTTTTATTACAGGTTTATCTCATGCAAAGAATTTTAAGTTCCAATAAAACTACTTGTCTTAGTAGGAAATAAGCCACCCTTTACATACTTAGCTCCTCTAGTGCTTATCACTATTCCTGTGCATTATTAAGGCTGGTCTAATTTTACACAGCACATAATATACCTAAAATTAATATTCAAGAGCAAAAGTGAAAGGGAGATAGTGATAAACTCTCAAGGGAAAAACCTTGGAAAATACCATTAAAGTTTAAAACAACAAGAGCCAGGCGTGGTGGCGCACATCTGGGATCCTAGCACTTGAGAAGCTGAGCCAGGAGGACTGCCACTGGCTTAAAGTCAGCCTGGGCCGCAGAGTCCAAAGCCAGTCTGAACCACACAGCGAGACTGCGTTTCAAACAAAACAAAACAACAATAACAAGAAAATAGTCATGTTCAGTAGAAAGAAGGAAGCCAAAAGTATGGGATTTTTGTGTGTGTGTGACAAGGTCTCACTATGCAGCCAGGCTGTCCTGGAACTCATGGAGCTCCTCAGACTCCTGAGTGCTGGGCTTACAGGCATGTGCCACCATGCCTGGGTGATTTTTCACTTGGAAACAATTCTTTTTTTTTTTTTTGGTCCCTCCTGAGTGAAGAATTCTGGACAAAAAGCAGTAAAATACAGCTATACTCAGAGATATTTTAGTACGCTAAATATCAGTACACTTCTAAGAGTGCTGTTATTAAACTTACCAGACTATTCTGGTCTTGCTAAGACTGCTTTGTAAATGGCCAAGGATAAAGAAGAATAATCAGTCTTAATGGCACAGTGTTAGGTCACCTTGACTCTCCCCGCTACTCAGCTCTACCTGAAGATACTAACACACAGTACACATTCCAAATACGAGATTCACATTTCTCTGGACACAATCAGAAAGAAGAAAAAAGAAAGGGGTGAAGTGTCCTGATGCTCAAAGGGTAAGAGACCGAGGACTCGACTGGAAAGCACTCTCCTCAAGGCATTACACAGCTGTTCAAGTACCTGCAGGGCCAACAGGCTTCTTTCAAATAAGCAGGCTAGGTGACCCCTAACGGGCTCTTTATTAAGGTGTTGAAAAATTCACATGTGGCCTTTTTTCACATCTAGTTAAAATAAACGGGCGGCAATGCACTGTACGAACATTTAGTATTGGACTCTTGAGGTGAAAAATGTTAGAATATTCTTGGAATTTTAGAAAAACAATTTTTCAGCCTTATACTTTATAACACCCCTGTGAGGTCTGGGCAGGACTCTGAAATCAGGCATTAATATTTTTGCTTCAAAAAGTATGAAGATTATAAATAGCATCAGAGCAACTCAGGCCCTGATTTGCTGCCAAATGAATTTGCTGGTAACTTAAGGAAAAACGTTTTGGTTCACAGAGCTTCTTGGGTCCAGAACTGACAGTAGCAGCTGCGGATCTGTCAGCACCCCCAGAGAGCTGATGGGGTCACACACAGTGCGCGTGCACACAGCTCACTAGGAGAGCCAGAGTTTACTCTTCACTGCCTCAAACCCCACCAGTTTCTCTCTGTCCCTTGGAAATCAATCACTGGTTCTCATGGGGAAGCCTTTCCCAGAACTTGCAGAGCCTGACTCTGGCTAGCAGGGCCACAGTGGGTTCCCGTCACTGACAGGAACCTATCAATCCTAAGGAGCACTGCAGTGGGGAGGAGCTTTAGAATCCCAGGAAGAAAAGAGGGGAGGGCAGGGGATGGGGAGGGGAGGAGAGAAGAGGCCATCAACATTTTATAGGCTACATTCTATCAAGCATAAGGTCCTGAATTTTGGAGGGATTCACAACCACCTTAAAAAAAGGCAAATGTATAATCAGATGCTAAGTTACTAACTAACAATAGGAAGTGTGATGGAAACAGTCACATCCTCTATACAGGACGCCTCTGTCCCATAAAGAGCATGTGAAAGGCCAATTCCTGAATGAAAGTCTTCTGGTAGGCACAAGGTCAGGATGTGCTAGAAGCCAGTGGTATCCCAGCTAAGCGCAAAGACTTTAGGGTCAGAACCTGACTTGAAGCACTGCTCTGGCATTTATAACTGGGTGACTTGCAGCCAGTACTTCATTTCTCTGTAGTTTACTCATCCACTATCATATTCATATATATATATATATATATAGAGAGAGAGAGAGAGAGAGACAGACAGACAGACAGACAGACAGACAGACAGACACAGACACCACCAAAAAATGTATACACACTTCAGGAAAAGAAAAACAGTATAATGTTTTCCACAAATGGTGTTACCCTCATATGGGGGACTCTTAGAGGATGTTGTCTATCACAGCAAACCCACCAGACTGCTGGCCCTTAAAAGAAGAAACTGAAAATGTATCCATAGCAACCTCAATGACCAAGGTTACCCAAGCTGCAGTTTGCCATACTAATAAATGTTTAGAAGCCAATGGCCACAACTTTGAGCATCTCTTGTAACTGTAAGAGGCCAAAGGTTTAACTGTCTTAATCTCATGATGTCTCAAATAAATCTGGTATTAAAATACTAAGACAAGTTTTTCTTTTCCTGAAGTGTATATACATTTTTTTGGGCAGATTCTATGCATATATACATGGGAGACCAAAGTATGTGACTTTCAAATATGCCTCTTTGGTGATAAGACACAAATGCAGAAAAACTCTATGCCCTCCCTATATCTGCCTACTAGCAGGGACACAGATTTACAAAGACAAAGGTTATCGTCCCTGCCCCATCCCCACCCCAAGAACAAAGTTTAACCATCAAAGACAACTTTACCTCTTGGAGGCCTGGAGACTGTACCCCGGGAATCTACATGAACAAGCTTAAGTAGCCTTTATCTGCCATTTATTTGCCTTCCCATAAGTTGCCAACTCAAGAGACTCAGAGTCCTTTTCCTTTGTCTTCTTACTTCGCTAAGAATTTACTGTTCTTAATAAGATGGAACTCAAAGCATCTCTAATTTGGGTATCTACCTTGTATGTACACACATGAAAACAGTATGTTAATAAATGTATTAGTCATTTCCCTGTCACTGGGACAAAGTACCTGATACAACTTAAAGGAAAAGGGTCTATAAAGCTCACGGTTGCAGTGGGGTCAGTCCAAAGCTGGCTGGTGTCAGGGCAGCAAATGCTGTAACCCCTGCCCTCAGGAGGCTGAGACAGTGAAAGCCGGCCAAGTCCAAGGCCAGCTTGGGCACAGAGGGAGTTGCAAGCCAGCCTTAGCTCCATAGAGACCGTCAAAAGCAAAGCTGGCTGCCTCCAAGGCAGCAATGGTATGGTGGAAGGGATGGCAGAGGAAAGCTGCTCACATCATGGAGGCTAGGAAACAGGAAGGGGAGGGAGGAGCCAAGGACAAGAACACACCTTTCCAGGGCAAGTCCCCAGCGGCCCGCCTCCCCGGGGCTCCACCTCCTAGCTTCGCATTCACCCGGGCACTCAACAGTGGGAGAAGCCAATCTCTAAAAGCCCCGCCTCCAAATACAGAAGACTCTGGAGGGAATTCTATTTTATTTCATTTGGTACTGGGGGTCGAACTCAGGACCTTGAGCTTGCCAGGCAGGCGCAGTGCCACTGAGCTACATCCCCGGCCCTGGGAGACACTTTAGATCTAATCCGTAACAATAAATGCCCGTTTGTCCCCTTGTTAAACTGTCTTTTATTGTAGGGGTCCTTTCCAACAAAGAACTCACATGGCTGAGGAAAATTTATTTTTTCTTCTCTGTATGTGAAAATATACATTAAGATGTACATAAAGGAATTTACATAAATGGTAATACATTTAGAATCCAGGATGTTATGTGGTAATTTTACTCATAAGAGGTAGTTACTGTCATCTTTATTTAGAATTAGTTTTCAGGCATTACATGTGTGGTAAGATTTACCTGGAAGACTTTTTAAAGTGTGGGACCTGGGTCTCATTCTTCACAAATGCTGATTCAGTGAGAAGTGGCATAAAGCCAAGATGCTGCAATTTTATCAAAAAACTCAGACAGTATTAGTATCAGCAGACATGGATCACACTTAGGAGAGAAAGGTTGATCTTAATCATGGATAATCCTGGAAGTCTCCCTCCTTTTACCCAGGGTCTTTTCTCTGGGATCTAGTGTTCACTGGGATAACCTTGACTGGTTTTTCTGCAGTGCTGGGATGGGACCCAGGACTTCACGGATGCTAGGCAAGCACTCCACCACTGAGCCACATCCTGTCCCCAAACTCTCCCACGCTTAATGCTTACCATTTC